GGCTCCCACAGACTGCGTATTGCTGATGCCCGGGGCCGCCCCCCGCCTGTGTGTCCAGACCGGCCTCCTCAGGTCGGCCGGACAGACCGAAGCTCAGGATGCCGAGGCCTGAGGCCGTCCTTCACGGACCACAGGGAAACGGAGTGGGCGGGCGGCAGAGAATGGGCGAAGTCCGAGGCGGGCAGAGAACTGTGGCTGAGGCGTGGGCTCTCCAGGGGAGCCAAGGCCACTCCCGGGGCCCCTCAGGGGCTGTGTTTGTCAGGAGACCTGAGGAGCAAAGAGAGAGAGACGGTGAGCCTCCTGCAGACGCTGCCCAAGGCCACAGGGAACACAGGCTCCTCTTCGCTCCCCGGCTCCCGCCAGCCGGCCTCCTGGAGGGCCTGAAACTAAGAGCTCATCCTCAGTGCTGTGGGGGACATCCAGGCCACCAGACAGCGCCCCCAAATCACCCACCCTTCCCTGTGTCTTGGGAGGGTGGGGCGCCGTCTGTGCATGACCTGGAGGGGTTGTTGGCCTCGGGCAGAGCCCTTCCCACCCCTACTTGCTGGCTTCTTTCCTCTAAGCGGCTGTATCACTCTGCCACTCCTCAGCTCAAGAACCATCCGTGGCTCCCTATTCCCTGTATCCAATTCAAACCCCTCCCAGCTTCCTGTGCCTCTGAGGCCACAGACTACAGAGCTCACCCAGAACGGCCGCTGCAGGCTGGGGGACCTGGCCGCACCCCCACCACGGAGCCACCCTCCCCTGGCCATCCACGCTGGGCCTCTACAGGTCTGTGCCGTTCCTGTGGCTGCCCAATCAAAGGACCACACACTAGGGGGGGAATCTGACACAGCAGTTAGTTCTTGCCCAGTCTCAAGGTGTGGACAGGGCCAGTTCCTGCTGGAAGATCTGAGGGAGGGTCCACTCCAGGCCCCCTGGGGCTTTCTGGTGCTCCCAGCAATCCTCAGTGCTCCTTGCCCGGGAGACGCATCGTCCTCATCTCTGCCTCCATCCTCACACGGTCCCCATGTCGACGTTCCCCTGCCCCATCCGGCCCCCGGAGGATTCCCTTCAACGGGAGGCAGAGGCCCTGGGGCTCAGCTTCCCCCCGACACTCCCCCTTTCCCTGGGCCCCAGGCAGCCCTGAGAATCTGCCCTTGAACGGACCGTGGCCAGAAAACTCATCATGGGACCCCGGCCCTACTGAAATTTCGGAGCCCACCCTGATGCTGTCTCCCGCGCGGGCACCTCCAGGCACCTGCCCACCTGGGTTAGGCCTCATCTGCCTCGCGCTAAATTCCTTACTCAGCCAGAGGCGGTGATGATGAGGGTCTCGCAGCTGCGGGGCCTCCCCAAATCCCAGGTTCCGTGAGGGCCAGGGGTCATCTCCAGCACCCTGACCAGCTGCGGTTCCTGAGCTCCTGGGTGCCAGTCACTGCTCTGGGAACGACCTTGCCGTCACCTTGTCATAGCCTTGTCTACCCAACGGGGCCGTGGGAATTAGAACCCGCACTCAACAGGACCTGAGGCTCAGGGGTGAAGGGACCTGCCCCGGGGACAGAGCAGCCTCACACTCACACCTCTGAGACAGGGAGCCTCAGATGCCTCCCCTCCTGGCTTCCTGGAGCTGCCAGCGTGGCCATCCTGCGGCCAGGCCCAGCCAGCCCTCTCTGCCTGTGGACACTTGTGGCCTGGGTCGCAGCCGGTGCGCCTCCTCACTGCACCCCTGGGGCCTGGAAAGGAAGCTGGCTCTGAGCTCCCCTCTGCTGGGTCTGCGGGCGCCCAGTCATCCACAGCCCAAGGCCAAGGTCTGCATCCTCCAGCCTGTAGCCATTGTTCCAGAACCCAGTCCCCAGAGGGCTCAGAATTGGCCCCAGAGTGAGCCTGCCATCACACTGGGCTGTGGACGCCCAACAAACTGACATGAACGGTGTGGTCCCGAGCTGCCCGCTGCACCTGCAGGCACCTGATGCTTGGCCCACACAAGCCTTTCCACCAGGGGCGACAAGAGGGCATGGTCCTGAGCCTGTGGAGTGTGTGTTCAGCTTCCATAAGAAGTTGACTCCGTGCTCAGACACAAACAACAAAACCAAACCTCCCAGCCCCAGTCATCCAGGTAAGTGATACTTTCTCTTCCTCACTAGAAGTTTCCATCTGATGTTAAGGTCAGGAGGAGCCTGCTGTACAAAGGAACATGCTATTCTTTTAATTTTTTTTAGACAGAGTCTTGCTCTGCCACCCAGGCTGAAGTGCAGTGGTGCGATCTTGGCTCACCTCAACCCCTGCCTCCCGGGTTCAAGCGATTCTCCTGCCTCAGCCTCCTGAGTAGCTGGGACTACAGGCACGCACCAACATGCCCAGCTAATTTTTATATTTTTAGTAGAAACAGGGTTTCACCATATTGGTCAGGCTGGTCTCAACTCCTGACCTCAGGTGATCCGCTCACCTTGGCCTCCCAAAGTGCTGGGATTACAGGCGTAAGCCACTGGGCCCGGCCTGAACACGCCGTCTTGAATGGAGCCTATGCAAAAGGTTCCAGTAAACAGCAGGAGAGAAGAGAGCGGCAAGAGAGTGATGACCGTGGTGCCACCTCCAGACACCTGGGACACTGTACCTTGGGAAAAACCCAAGTGGACTCAGGGACGAAATACACACCACATCCCACCCATGTCCAGGAAGCCTTTGGCTTCTCTCCTGGGGCTGCTCCTTGAAGGTGCAGAGCCAGGTCACAACCAAGGCCCCAACCCTTCCTGCGCCCCAAGGCCAGGTCCACAAGAAGGGCTGGAGTGGCTGTGGTTGGTTGCTGCTGTTCAAATCACCACGCAGAACATCGGGGACTCGGACTACAGTGCATTCACTCTAGCAACCCCAGCAGGCCTCCTGAGCTGCAGGGGGTCATCTTCACAGGGAACCTTCTCGAGTCCCAGGGCCCTTTAGTTCTTAGGCTGAGCAGCAAAGTGCATCAGGGCAGGGCAGGGCCAGGCACGGCTGGTGACACCATGGTGGCCTCCAGTCCTGTTGGCTTATGGTGTCCACTCCCCTGCCCTCTGCCCTTCTAGTCGGTGAACCACTGCTTCCCGGGCTCCAGGGCATCGAGCCCATTCTGTAGGGTACAGGCGAGGGGTCTAATGGAAGGAGGGTGCTGGCCACCAGCCTCCTGAGGACATGGGGCTCCAGTACCCATCAGGCTGGTGAGCTGCATGAGGACGGCTGCCGGGGTGGGACGGGGAGCTCGGCGGGCACTAGGCCCCAGGGGTGCGGAGAGCAGGCTCACCCTCTGCCAAGGGAGCAGGCTGCCATCCCACTCCACTCTGATGACAGGTGATGAGGCCCCTCGGGCTTCTGTCCTGTAACAAGGCTGGACTAGGCTACCACCTGGGAGGAGGTCAAGCTGGAATCCCCCTTCCCAGGGCGGCTACACCTCCTGGGCCCGAACGCTGCAGCAGCAATTACTATCTGAACATCCACTTTCTGAATGTCCCCTCTCTGTGCCTCAGTTTCTCCATGTGTAAACACATACCCACTTCATGAGTTAGTGCTATGGCTTGAAGAGATCTAATACAGCCAGCACCATGTCAGTGTTTCTCTCTTTTTCTTTAACAAGACAGGGTGTGGCCCTGTCACCCAGGCTGGAGGGCAGTGGTGCAATCACAGCTCACTGCAGCCTTGAACTCCTGGGCTCAAGCCATCCTCCCACCTCAGCCTCCTGAGCAGCTGGGACCACAGGCACGTGCCACCATGTCCAGCTGATGTCAATATCTCTTATGTGGAAAATGAGAGTGACAGGCGACTGGGGTGTCTGTGCCTGCCTGATGATTGGGGTGCTTCCTGAATGGCACGGGGTGGAGCCCAGCCTGAAAGCCCAGAATGCCTTGGGTGACTTCACCCAGGGCAGAAAGGCATCACTGAGAAGGGCCAGGTCTAGTGCCAGCCAGAAACCACAAGGACAGGGGCCAGAGGTGACCAAGCTAAACAGCCCAGGCGGATCCTGGGGACACACGCCCTTTCCTTGAGTGGACGCTGAATGTGCCCCAGTGAGGGACACAAGGACCCCAGCCCATCGCACCATTGCACACTGTCTCCTGGAGGCTGCATCCTGTGTGTGCAGCTCACACACCTCTCTCCCCGGGACAGCATGCCCCTGCGGGCTTCACTGGTGGCACCCTCCACTCTCACGCAGGAGCTCAGCTCACCGCCCACCCTCTTCCAGTGCGTGTGTAGTGAAACGATGCCTCTCTGGACCCTCCTTCCCGTGGTGCTGCCAGGAGAGGTGCCTGACACCAAGCCCCGGCCTGTGTGCCCAGGGGCAGAAGAGCTACCGTTTATATGAAATATTTGGGCCGGTTGTTGACACCTCCCAGGCCCCCTCCAAGCGCCCAGGTGGACCTGGTGGACAGAAGGGCGTCTGAAAGAGGCACCGCGGCTGCTCCAGATGAACAGTCATCAGCTGAGACTGAAGACAGAGCGAATTCTAGGACCTCAGGCCAGTTCTGCAACGTCAAAATACTGGGTCAAGCCACTGAAGACTATGTCACATGTGTGCTCAGGGTGAACCCTGGACAGGCCAGCTGCCGACGACAAAGCCGTGTGTGACCACGCTCAGGGTGAACCCTGGACAGGCCAGCTGCCGACGACAAAGCCGTGTGTGACCACGCTCAGGGTGAACCCTGGACAGGCCAGCTGCCGACGACAAAGCCGTGCGTGCCCACGCTCAGGGTGAACCCTGGACAGACCAGCAGCCGACAACAAAGCCTTGCCCTGTGCAATGAGCCGGCTCCACCAAAGAGCCAGGACTGCGTAGCAGACTCGGGTTCAGGGGTCAGGGGTCAGCGCTGCTGAGACACCCTCACAGGCTGATGGTCCCAGGGACGAGACAGAACCCACCCCTGCCAGGCGCAGTGCCTCACGCCTGTAATCCCAGCACTTTGGGAGGCCAACGTGGGGGGATCACCTGAGGTCAGGAGTTCGAGACCAGCCTGGCCAACATGGCGAAACCCCGTCTCTACTAAAAATACACAAAATAAGCTGGGCGTGGTGGCAGGTGCCTGTAATCCCAGCTACTTGGGAGGCTGAGGCAGGAGAATCGCTTGAACCCAGGAGGCGGAGGCTGCAGTGAGCCGAGATCGCACCACTGCACTCCAGCCTGGGCAACAAGAGCCAACATTCCATCTCAAAACAAAAAAACAAAACAAAACACAAGGAACCCGCCCCTGCCTCCCAAGGCTGCAGAAACACAGAGGAAAAGATGTTGGTAAAGGTGCCCTGGAAATGTACGAAACCACCCA